TGGATGTGAAACCTACCCTTAATGCCTTTCGCATATTTTGACAGCGCGATTGCAATAACGCAGCGACTAAGGGTCCAACCAAGGTTGGGATGGAGAATATGCAGAAGACGGATCGCTATAAAATACAACAGTGACGAATTCATCTGACATGAACTGATCTAATGGAGCTAAAGCATGGGTCTACAACCGAATGCTTTTTCGGTGTGTGTTAGAATTACCCTATTCGCGGCTAGAATCACCTTCCATACTGATCACATTCAGTAGAAATGTCATCCTGTCAATGAAGACGTTCTCTGTTAAAATCCGAGAAGCATTGTACAGCTCTTTCATGCCTGGTGGGAATCATTTGCACTGGTATACCAGGAGACCAAGATCGATTCAAACCGTGACAGTTTGACCGGTGGTTGAATACTTAGACCTTCAACCTAGAGTGCCTAACCAGCGGTGTGAGTTCCTCTTACTAAGAGGGGTCATGACATCAGACATTTTTCAATGAAGAAGAACTAACCATGTGGTCAGGTAATGACTGGCTAACAACTTCTCTGAAGGACGTTTCGCAATCGTGAAATTATCTATTCTCTGGGCTACTAGTTGTTCAAAAAAACATCAGGGTTGTCAGCGAGGTTTCAGGTCGGCCGAATTCTGCTGATTGGTCTTGCGTGTACTTTTCGATCAAACTGATGATCTAGAAACACGAGCAGACTTAGTCATCTCAAGAACACCAACTTCACGCTGCCCATCGCTTTTTGCACCCGAGGTAGATAGCGGAGGTCAAAGGTGGGTGGGATTGCACAGCAGAACAACAAGATTAAACTGCAGTTGTAGTGATTCCAGGAATGTCCAATTCACTTAGCTTGAATGCACACAATCACGTGGACTTTGAGACATGACCCTCTTGAGCTCTATCGCGAAGTCCACCGCGGAAAATTTTATTTAAAATCTGGAGCAACAAATGAACGTTATTTTACAACACTGACCTTCGCCGTATTTGGCAGTGTATAATGCGGACAATTTGGTCATTATTGATGGTAGCACCACGTACATGTATCACTTAAAGAGAGTTTCATTGAAGAAATGTTTTAGGCTTTATTCAACTTCGTGCAATCCCTTTTCACCGTAGGTCAATTCACAAAAATGGCACATATGTATTGCGCTTTTCTTTCTGCCTTTTGACAAAGTGAGCGCCAAGGCTTATAATAATTAGAGACTGCCGAGATTGGAGAGTTCCCTAATTGCAGCGCTTTAAAGGCATCAAAATGTTCCACTAATACAAAATGTTTTAGTGTCGGATTTACTCGCGTTTATCAATTTTTTAAACAACAAATATGTGGTTTTAAACGGATGACAAATTTTTCATGGTCATTGGTTTTCAGATTGCTCTTTTCTCTGTTTAATTTCGATTGTAGACTTCCTATGCTGTTAGCAAGACGCCTCCAAATGATTTTCCTTAGAATCATTCAAAAAGTTCACCACGAAAGTGCGTTCTCTGCCTCTGAGAACGTTTTTCATACGGTGAAATCTTGTAAACTGATTTTAAATTGGTGGAGCGCATTCTTTTTTATGTGGAGACTGAAACCAGTTATGTGGTGCAGACCAAGCAAACCTTGCCCTTATTTTTAGAATCTATAGTTAAAACGTTCTAGTTACCTGCATGTAGACGTTGTGGAAAAGAGTTGAAACATTGTTCCAACACCTTATAACTCATACAGGAAAAATAACTGGATTCATTACCTGACACCTATAAAATATCATGTTATGAACAAATGAATCCATTTTAATGTCTGTTATTGTAAGCGGTGACGCATGCAGACTAAGATACAATGAGGTTCCGATGACGTATATATTTGAAACCACGAGAAACTTCGATAAACTATGGTATCAATCTTAAAAAGTGAACCTTTCTGTGAGGTCACCAAGAGCTACAATTTTTTTCCATTTAAATCACGCTAAAAACATTTGGGATAAATGGAAGGTCTCCTCTGAAGGAAACCTTGTCATTATGTTTTCCAGAACATTTAACGGGCAAAAAACAAGATTGACTAAAAAATATTTGAAAAGGAGAATATCATAATGATCCAGTTATCCTGGTTATCTTTGTCCAAAGGAAATTCCGGTTTGGGTACCTTTGTCCAGCCATAATTTTCATAGACATGTTAAATGACGCTCGAGATGAATATCCGGAAATCAGGTGCCATTTGACGCATTGGGTAGAGCTTTTATCCACTGCTCAAAATCTCCTTTTGACAGAAAATCTGGTGTTCAAGGGGAAAACATTTACAAGAACATAGGGGCTTACTGCTGACTGTAAACTAGCGCTTCGTGCAGAGTTCCTTATACATCACAATTACATGAAACATCCCCAAATAGGCAATCTTATTGAGACTAACAGGGTTTAATAGTGATTTTCTCTGACCATGTGTTTGCCAACATTTCTGTTAAACAGTTATATGTGAAGATCCGATTCGTGGGTTGAAATTCCCATGTAACGAAGATAGTCCTTTATTGGGAAGCACCAACTAGGTGATCATAAACTGTTAAACAGGAAAGCAAACACCTCATACGCAAAGACTTTTTAAAAACTGGACATTCTCGAATGTCTTTTTGAACTTTCATTAATCATCACGCAACTGTAAACGAACCCTGCAAACCAGTTCCACAAGTTCCGTAATAAACTTCATCTCACATTGGACGTGGGACGGAGCTTCGAAATGACCACAGACTACTCGCATGCCTCATCGGTATTACACGCCCTTACACACGTAGTGCCCACAACCAAAATGTGCTCTTCATCGTAGCATCAAGACAAACGTCCCGTTTTTCATATTTACACTGGCTTTATTTTCACTTTATACTTTCCACGAATTGGTGGTCTACATCAAGCCCAGACACCTCTTCAATGGGTTTTGTTTAACGCTCAAAGGGACTTCAGAATTTGCCCAGATATATGGAGCCTATTGAGAATAACGGGCCGTAATCGGACACATTCGGTAACACTTGTTTCAATCGAGCTTTTCTCAGCTTCACGTTGGAGTGACATGCTGGTTTTCACCCTGTATTTAGGTTAAAATGTTTGGTCAAATTTGCAGTGTCCGGCTTGTAAAACGCTCATAAGAGAGCCTCTTCAATGCAGTTACGTGTGAGTCAGCATGTTCAGGCGGTATCGATTGTTAACACTTAAAAACACCGTGTAAGCTCCACCGGCCTTCACAAATGAAAAAGAAATTTGTTTTCTTGGCACTGCACGAAAGAATAAATGCACCAGTTTCCACAAAAAATCGTCACTTTTGTTCCGTTTACGCTTTCGAATCCTGCACATTCAAAGGATTTCGAGTTTCAGTACATTACAGGTACTTTTCCAAATAATGCTACTCACATCGGGAGCCCAAGACTGGCCTTGAGCTTGCACTTTGAGCTTATCAAGTATGCAGTCCCAGACTTAATGTATTACATGAACGAACATTTCATCCGTGATATTTAGCTGGCCTACTTTTATTTCAGTTGGAACTTCGACTGTCACACTAACCACTGAGTACACATTCTTGACCAGCCTTCGTTTTCGCGCAAGCTTCCGAAATAAACCTACTCACGCTAAAAGTGCTTACAAACTTTCCCTGTTGTCGCGTGATATTTACTGGCCTACTTTTATTTCAGTTGGAACTTCGACTGTCACACTAACCACTGAGTACACATTCTTGACCAGCCTTCGTTTTCGCGCAAGCTTCCGAAATAAACCTACTCACGGTAAAAATGCTTACACACTTTCCCTGGTGCCGCGAAATTTTGTTACTTTTTCCGAATTTTATCACTTTGCGCTGCATCTAAGCCGTCAGTATACTTTCGAAATAATTCACTCGATAAATATACTGTNAGTATACTTTCGAAATAATTCACTCGATAAATATACTGTGCTAGTATGCCCATTCGATTCACATCAATCAGAAATAAACGAACGGACGTTGAATGCATAGTTGACGGAAAGCCTAAAATATGTACGTTCTGGCGTGTTATTTCTGTAGATTCTTACATGAATTCACCCTGCAAAATTAGACGATTGATGATTCTGCCTGAGCGTATAGCACACTGCGCGCGCCGATTCCAAAACAGGGCTGTTTGTTCCACTGGCACGTGCTTTTATGCTGTGTCGAACTTCACTGCTCAACCATGGTAGTTGGTGAATGGATTACTTCAAATTCAACTGGTTTCACCATAAGCATAGGTAGGCCATCCTGGTTTGAGTATTTTGGAAAGGCAACAGTCATTACCATAGGTGAAACTGACCAAGAATTTCATGACTTATTCCAAAAACCCGCTGACGCTCTGACCTTCAGTATGCGACCTTGTGTTCAAAAACGTTTTCAGCGCAAATATAAAGCCAATGAAGTGCATTGCATAAAATTGATGTATGGTTTACAACTTGCAGGATGGGGATTTTTAGCATATTCGTATATTGGGGGATACTTTGGGTATCACACATCACGGATGCAATTTACTACAGCGATTGTGGTAAGCTCTGATTTACATCAATCCTTTGTGACTGACCTGGATGCTTTGACATTCGTATGACCAAGACCAAAAGCGCTTCAATGTAGCCCACTTGTGAAAAGACACTGAGATCGATCTCAATGTGTGTTCAAGCTCACTACAACTTAGGAAGCTCTGGCAACTTTAATATATAGATGAACAGGATAACACGTAACAACATGTTGCTCACTCCTCGAAACAGTGAATTCCACAGCCAAAAAAACAACGAAATTCACAATAATATAAACATGCCATGTTTTTGACACTATTTTTCAAGTTCCAAAATTATTTTATCTACTCTAGTAGAACTCTACAATGGACAACACATTTAGGATCACTGTTCCAGACATAACGGTTGCACAGATTGTGATAAGTGGAATGATTTCGGATGCGAGCGGAAAGCACCGTGCACCCGATTGCCGTCCAGGAAAGTCATTCAGCTTTCCATAGAAGCGCATTAGGAGGAAAATCACAAAAATCCACCCATTTGATTCGGGAAGGAATTTCACAAAAATGTCACTTTCAATCATTGACCGCGTCTGTCTGTGTGGCCCCAATGCGAACTACACAAAGGACTTTTTGCTGTCCCTTACA